CCCGCGGGCTCAGGCAATCCACTCACCTCAGCCTCCCAAGGCACGAGATTACAGGCTGAGGCACCGAGCCCGGCTAGGGATTTTTATTTTGATGAGAAAGAAAGAGATAGATAATACAGGGACTCTAGAACTCTGTTGTTTTGTCTGCATGGCATGCTTTCCCTTCTTTTAGTAGGAGTATCCCACCTTTTCTTTTGGGAGAACTACCTTTACCATTCCCTATGATCCTGATTAGGCCATAATTAATTCACGGTACCTTCTATGGGGCCACAGGGATATAATGACCAGGCTACGGGGATTGATCAAATGATAAATGTGTGACTCGAAGCCAGTTAGAATAAACTCTGGCCTGCCAAAGCAGACAGGGAGAACTGCCTTTTTCCACTGAGGCTGCTAAACTGGGAAGATGTAAGTTAGGGATTACTTGCTTCATGAGAATGCCTACTTGAAAGGTAAAGCCAATTAGCAACAGGCATAGCTCAAAGACTGAGAGAAAGCTGGAGGCATGGTAAAATCACTTGAGTGCTGTCATCTAGCCAAGATGAAGGCCAAATACTATGTGGTTTACATAAGAAAATTGGTTAACTTTTTTTGTACTTATATCACTTTGAGTAGAATTTATATCACTTATAATTTTAAAAAGGTCATAACTAGCTAGATGGGGACCTGAAACTGAAGAAAAAAGAGACTTGAGCATATTTATATGCTAAAGGGAAAGAGACAATAGGAAAGAATGAAAATATGGGAAAAGAGGAAGTGGATAATATGCTTCCAAGGTCCCAAGAAAGGCAGTATTGAATAGGATTAAGATTACAGAAGGGGAAATAAACCTTGAATAGAAGAAAATATAATTCTCCTTTTAAGACAAATAGAGGGTCAAGGATGGGTGCAGAGACAGAGAAATATATAGTTGGAGGTGGAAAGGTAAAAGAGTTCATACACTATTTGTTTAATATCCAATTCTCCACTGATAACTAAAAGTCAATTTCATTTTATAGAAATGGTTCTGGACTGGGAATCAAAAGATCTGTAATCTATTTCTAGCCCTACTATTAATTAGATATGCAATCTTTGGGCAAGTCATTTAATCTCTTGGCGTCTTGACTTCTTTCACTGTAAAATGAGAAATTGCACAAAGGTCCCTTCCAATTTAAATCTTATGATTTAACATGCTTTCTCATATAATTTCTGACTTTTTTTCTTCTTCCTTTCTTGAAATTGAAATACAGATAATAAAAAAACTGCCATGTTTTTCTTAAGACATTCTCAAGAGCAGTTTTTCAACACGTTGAAAGTGTTTTGCCACCAGACTAATATATACATAATTACTACTACTAACAGTACCATAAACTATGCTAACAGCTTTACATACATCATCTCATTTAATCATAAAACCCCTAAAATATGGCCAGATAAGGAAATCTAAACAAAGGAGTTAAGTATACTATGAAAGGTTACACTAAATGGTACAACTAGAACTTGAATCTAGACAGTTTCCAGATCCTGTGAACTTAACTACTATACTACGTGGCTCCTTTTTTTTT